CCCATTTCCCAATGGCAGTCAGGGTCATTTGAAGGAAGTGGGTGCTCCTGTCACAGGGAGCAATGAATGCCTCATGTGCACCTGTCAGACTCTGCTGCTTCACTTTAGACATTGTTTTGCAAGAAGAAGGAAAATCCAACCCCTTCCTTGGACCCTCTGTCCTGCCCAGCGCAGCCCTGGACATCCCAGCCCAGCCAGAGGAGGATGCACAGCAGCGGCGGGAGCAGCCAGACTGATCCTGCTTTCACTGGAGGCTGCAGAAACTGGTTAAGTGCCCCCAGGGGCCTCCAAGTGCCCCTCTATGCATCCAAGGAGCCTCCGAGTGCCATTCTGCACAGCCCAGGGGCCTCCAGATGCCTTTCTTTGTGCACCTGGGACCTCCGAGTGCCTTCCTATGCAATGCCAGGACCTGTGATTGCTGCTTGAGAGCAAGGCAAAGCAATGTCACAGACCCTTCTCTCCAAACCCTGGGTGTTACAACACAGGTACTCAACAGCCACATAACACTGGCCTGGCTCCTGGCAAGCCAGGAGCTTGCAAGAAGACAGCTACTGGAAACGCAGAGCACAGCATCCCTCAGTGGTGGATCTGGTTAAGAGCAGGCTCGGAGGAACAGCCTTTAAACTTGGGGGTTTTTTCTGGGATCAGCTGGGAATTAAGCATCTGTGTTGTTGTGTTTAAATCTGAACCTTCAAATGTCCCTTCCCTCTTCCCCCACCCCAGCATTGTTCTATGCAAAACTCAGTTTTCTTCTGAAGCTTTATTTTAAGGGTAAGTTTTAAATGACTCATTTTGCAAAGGAAAGAATTGTGCTGTCAGGCTCTTTTTCTTCTTTTAATTTCCCAAAAGGTATTTTTTCTGCATTGGGGAAAAGATCCAGAACAGCTTTGGTGAGCTTGGTGAAAGCAACCAGAACACAATATTGTCGATCAGCATACGCCTCTTTGCTTCCCACCAGCCTCAAGCTCTGCTGCTGAGCCAGTTTCATGGTTTCCTGGCCAGTTAGTGGTTACAACACACATACATACAGCAAGCAGAACCGCTCCAACTTTCTGTACGTTCTTGCTAATCTCTCATGTTTTTTTAAGCCTTTGGCAATAATGAAACGACTGGGGATAATGACAGGCATAGTTTCCAGGAGTGCAAGACCCTGAATCATGTTTTTCTTCTAACCAGCTGGTGTACCTTAGGATAAAGCGGAGGGACAGGTTTGGATGTGTGAGCTTCATTGCACATTTCCAACCTCCTTGCTCTTGGCTGCTTGTTTTTTAATCAGATTGGAATTAACTGGCTTCTTAGTGTGCGTATGGGGTGGTGTTTGCTTGTTTGGTTGGTTCTGGTAATAGAAAAGCAGTCTTAATCATTTTGACCTTAGGCTTCCAGATCTTAGTGTTTTATTTCTAGAGCACCTTCTATCCCATTTTTTCCATTTTTCACGGAAATGAAGCTCCACTGGGCTACCATGAACTATGGTAGCTCTTCTTTTGGCTCAACTCCCGGAAAGCTCACCAGCTTCACCTAATGAGAAACAGCATGAGCTGCTACCTGGGGCAGTGCTGGTATACAGCGTGATTAGCAGGGATGCGGGGAGCTCATGCCAAGTACGTGGCAGCTGATCTGGTATGAATTTCAAAGCTCTGTTCTTTAAAGTTGAAAGACAAAGATTAAGGGAGATATATTCCATGGCAAACAAGACGCCAAAGCTGGGCTGCTTAGGGAAGATCTCTGCTAAAGCTCCTGAGCAGCAAAGCAAGCAGAGACCCAGGACAGAAGTGGTTTTGCTCATACCCCTCTCTCTGTCAACTTTTGGGCAGGACTTGAGGGAGAAAAATGACAAATGCACCAAGAGATTGAGGAAAAAAAATGACAAAAGCAGTGCTGGGATTACATTTAGGAGGGACATTCTCTCCCTGCCTCCTTTCAGAGGACGCATTTTACCATTCTAGCTCTGGAAGAAATCTGTGGGACAGCCGACTTACCCAGGCTACTCCTAAGCTCCAAGGAAGCCTTGTCATCCCTAGTTCCAGATCTGGCAAACTGAAGACGCAACTGCCAACACTGCCAGAAGATTTCGCAAGCCAGGTTTTAACAAGTCCTGACTTACAGTTTCTTCCAAGCAGGTGACTTTGGGGGTCTGTTAAGCCATGATTGCACAGAGATGCAGGTGTGAGGAAAGGTTAGGGCACACGCACAAACCTTTCCAACCTGTACCTGTTGTAATCACCTGGTGCGCAGGTGCTTAGATATTGTGGAGGAAAAGGCAAAGGCTAGGTAAGGATCCAGATAAGGCCACAGGTGTTTCAGCAATGTCAGGAAAATGGGAAAAGCAGCTTTTAACCTGCCTTTGTGCTGTCAGCCACAGGCGTGCTGGCCTGCCCGAGGAAGCACCGAGCCCAGCACTGCTTGTAACCTGTCCCTGAGTCGGCTGGTGTGTGCGGTCAGGGCAGACCTGCCAAGGAAAAGGGAGAAATAGGGTGATTAAAATCAGCAGGGGACAAATGTTTCCCTTGTCCTTGTGGGAGTACGGGACTCCCCCACCTTTTACAGCTGGAGGGGCCCTTCTGAGCCCCTCAGAGGTATCCGGTGACAAATCCACTAGTGGATGGAGAAACTTTCTGTGCTTTCCTAGGGCAAAGGAAACTAACTCCAAGCAGGGAAAGCAGCTTTCCCTTTCCTTCTCTCCTCTCCTCCATTTGCATTAGGCAGGGAGAAAAAGGTCTCTCTGATAAGAGTTTGTAAAAAAAGAACTATTATCAGGATGACTTTCCTTTTATGTTCAGCTTAGGTTTTTATGGGCAGAGGTCAGCCCAATATCCTCCCAGGGTGTGTACGCTGCAGATTATTTTTATAAATGCTGACTTCTTGACTTTGCAGTCATAAAGTATTTTCACAAGAAATGTATCCCCTCATCTCCCTTGCTTGTCACTGGTAAGTTAATTGCCAACTATGTGGATGGAAAGAGATGTAATAAGGTGTCCTGGTTTTGGCTGGGGTAGAGTTAATTTTCTTCCTAGTCACTGGTGCAGTGCTGTGTTTTGGATTTAGTACTACGATAATATTGATAACACACAGATGTTTTAGTTGTTGCTAAGTAGTGCTTACACTAGTCAAGGACTTTTCAGCGTCTCATGCCCTGCCAGCGAGAAGCTGGGAGGGGGCACAGCCAGGACAGCTGACCCAAACTGGCCAAAGGGATATTCCATACCATGTGACATCATGCTCAGTATATAAACTGGGGGGAGTTGGCTGAGGGGTGGTGACCGCTGCTCGGGAACTGGCTGGGCATCGGTTGGCAGGTGGTGAGCAATTGCACTGTGCATCACTTATTTTGTATATTCTTTTATTATTGTTATTTTCCCTTTCTTTTCTGTCCTATTAAACTGTCTTTATCTCAACTCATGAATTTTACTCTTTTTTTCCCCCGATTCTCCCCCATCCCCCTTGGGGTGGGGGGGAGCGAGCAAACAGCTGTGTGGTGTTTAGCTGCCTGCCGGCCTAAACCACAATGTAAGGCCAGCTCAGATGCTGCTTACATACTTGCTTTGAAACACATTTTTTTTTTCCCCAGCATTACCGATTCTTGTAACTTTTGTCTTGAGGGTTGAGGATTATCCAGTGGTCTTCCAGTTCTTGTAATCAAGCAACTGAAAAATCTCCGTGCTTGTTTGAAAATAAGTATGTTAATGGCTGTCTTTTATAAGGGGAAAAGCCTGAGAACAAAGTTCAGTGTTTAAAACGGAAAGGAACAATATAATTAGATGGCAACTTTAAACTGATCAGCGTTAAGGTCCTGTAGGTTGGTAACACCCGCTCTGTTTGTGTGCATAGCTAGACCTTGAGGATAGGCTTTTGGACATGGCCGAGCAACCTCTGCAGGAAGCAGAAGCATCTCCTCCTTCCCCCCCCCAGCACGGGACGCTCCCGCAGGCAACCCAGAGGCGTTGCGGACGCGCTCAA